ACAGCCCCGCGGCGCCCGCACATCCCCGTCCCGCTCGGTGCCCCAGGGGACAGAGCCCGAGTGCGGGGTGGGCGATGCTCCCTGTTAGGCAAAACATCCCTGGTTAAACAGGACACTTGATACATTCATAATAAAAGGATTTTGATGTTAGGGCTTTTCTTCTTTTCTTTCTTTGCCGTGGTTGTAAAGTTTCTCAGCTGCCTCAAGTAATCCCAGTAACTTCCCTGGAATTGGACTGCTCGTAAGCAGCAGAGGCTCAACACCAACACAGACCTGTGGGAGCGCATGAACAGATCAGTGCCAGTTATACTGGTGATGCTCTGCGGGGTAACTCTCCTGTCACAGACCTACATACTCTGGTCCTGGTCCTGTGTGAAGCTCTCCCCTGGCACACACCTTGCCGCTCGTGCCAATCGTACAGTCACAGATTAGTACAATCGCAGATGCTCTCGGAGCACGCACAACAGCGAACTGTTTAAAAAACATTCCTCTGAAAGGAAAGCTTCTTAAGGGCCTGCATTATTATTCAAATTGATGCTGAGGATGATGTAAAGAAGGAAGTGTGTTCAACAGCACTTCACTGATCTTTCTACAGCAACTTGTATCAGCCTCATTATGCTGTTTGCACACACACAGTGCGATCCTGCCCGTGGGTATTACACTCCTAATTGGAATTGCTACTTTCAGAAAGAAAAAGTCAGTTTCAAAGGCCAAAAGGGAAACCTGGTTTCAATGTATACCACAGCATTCCTTTCTTTACCGAGGTCTGTTGGATTTATAATAACAAATCCATTCTAACCCGTCCAAGCATTTATCAATGGGTTTAATCAATACAATACTTTTACACTGCTCTTTTGCTGTCAGGTTTCACAAATGAATCCTGTCTGAGCATAATGGAAACAGACTGCCTCTGGCATAAACCCACCTCAGCTGCATTCTAGGAAGGCTCCAGCCAAGGATGGGGTGGCCACCTGCTTCTTTCTTTACAGCCACCCCAGTGTTTGCCTACACGAGTCTGAAATTATAGGTTTATGGCATGTGCTGAACTGGAGGCTTGGTCTAGAGTTTGACTGATATGAAACTATGTGACCTTCACTTCGTAATAAACACAAAACATAAATTTTGCAGATATTTGAGGAGAGGAGCCTGGGAAGGAGGAACAAACAGAAAACCTTGTGGCAGCTGTGAGTCTGAGTCTTCATAGATCAAAGATTCATCTCTTCTCTTCTGTTCTTTTGTTCTGGTTCA